AAAAACCCCACAAAAACACACCAAAAAAAAATCACAAAAAAAAAAATTAAAAATAAATAAAAAGAGAGAGAGAGAGAAAGTAAAGAAACAAGAAAATGCTGCCAGACTACCAGCCTCCTGCCCTAACAGGCCTCGATCAAACTGTTGCTGGGTAGTGGTTCTGCTACCTTGTATGTTTACATATTGCTTTAGCTTATGGACAACTGATGCACTCAACAGGCGGACTGGTATTGGGTTTCCGTGCCTCCTTTTGGGGAAAATAAAGGACGGCTATTTTTTTTAACAAAAAGAAAATAAATAAAAAAGAACCTGAACTGCCTTTGCACTAAATTAGTGACTCGGACCTTTGCACAGTTGGAGACATGCTGTGACGCTCTGGATGTCTTGACACACACGAACACGCGCCGTGGACTAAACGCAGGACCTGGGAACTTCTGCTGAATTCTGTGGGTCAAGGATCATTTCACACATTATCTTTTTTTTGTTGTTGTTGTTGTTGGTTTTTTCGTTGTTTTGTTTCGTTTTTGTTTTTTTTTTTTCTGGATGTGAACCTTCCTCTCCTCCACCCACCCCTGCTGCAGCCGTCTTCTCTTCATCTGGGATGTACAGTTTACACTGAAAAAAAAAAAAAAAAAAAAAAAAAAAAAAAAAAAAGCAAAACAAAAGGGAGAGCTATTTTCCTTCCTGGTGGGATATGCAGAACTCAGTGGGTGTGTGTATATATAAATATATATATAATATATATAAATATATATAATACTGACTTTAAAAAAAAAAAAAAAAAAAATCAAATCCCCACAACATACATTTTTTTTTAATCTGTGCCAAAAATGTGTTTTCAGAGAAAATCTTATTTTCATACTCAGACTTTGTATTGTCACTCATTTGTAAGTGCGCTTCATTTAAACATGCCCCCCTCCCTCGTCTCATGAGCTGTGGAAGTGTTATACACTTGTACAAAGACTTTTTACCCTTCTCCCTTCACCTCCCCTAACACTTATTAATTTATGGAACTGTTTTTCTCAGCGCAGTTTTGTTTTGTGTGTCCATTGGATTACAAACTTTATTAAAAAATACAAAACACCTCGCGCCGCCTGTGCTCCCTGCTGCGCCGGGGGGCGGGCAGGGTGTTCCTCAGTGCAGCTCTTCTTGGTGTTCCTTTGAGCGTTGTTAAAGCACTCAGCTGCAGGATGCTGCTGTCACCATCGCCTTAGAAATGGGCATTTCCAGCTTTGATGAGAACAAATCCTCCGTGCCCCGAGTGCTTCTCCAGCAGATGCACCACGCTCGCTGTCGTCAGCCTAACACCGTAGTGCCTGGGTTGGTTTGGAAGCTGCTGTGCTGAATCCTTCAGACCCGCAGCCACGTGGGGTGGTTTTGCTGTTTCCTCCCAGCGGCCTGCAGGTGTGTGGCTGCACTGCCTGGTGGGTGCAGCACGGTGCTCCCTGGGCACTCAGCATCATCATCCCTGGTGCAGGGGTGTGGATGGGGAGTGCCAGCCCCCATCCTGCTTCTGGGCAGAGTAAACCCCTCAGCCCCACCCTCATCATCCCCCACGGATGGGAGATGCAGGGACAGGAATGCATCTGTCTCTATTACCCCACGCCCTACCCTACTGGTCCCCTACCCCTGAGCAGCAGGAAGAGATGGGAAGGGGCCTCAGGGCCCCTGTGCACAGCCCCAGGCCTGAGCAGGGGGGAACATCCAGCTGCACCTCTTAGCAGGTATTTCAGTACCTCCTGTCCAAGGCAGTGGGCTCCACAACATGCTTTAGAAAATATTGCAATTTATTCCTTCTCTTTCTCTCCTTCCAGAAATACACTTTTTACACCATTTCCAAGCAGCTGACTTTAAATAAAGGCGAGGGGGTGCAGGTGGGTCACTCAGCAGGTGTCTGACCCTCCCCAGCGAGGGGCACAGGAGCCAGGGGGGCAGCAGGGGCCTCTTGAGGGCTGTCGCGGGCACGGAAAAGCAGCTCGGTGGCTGGGATGACCTGCTCGGTCTGCCAGGTGGCAGCAGCGGCCCCGTACTGCTGGTAAAAGTCCGTGTCGGCCTGGAACATGACGAGCGCCTGGGCCGTGTGGATGCGGACGTGCTGCGCCAGGCTGGTGGCATCCAGGAATTTCTCCCCGCAGGAATCGCAGGCGTAAAGGATCTGAGTGTTGGGGTCTGCAAGGGCAGAGGGGAGGCCCGGGGTGTGGCAGCAGCAGGGTGGGAGCCAGGTGAGCGCGATGCCTGCCCCCTCCCCTCCTCACCTGCTTCCTGCACTTGTTTCACTGCTTTGGTGATCTCCGCTTTAAGAGCTTCGGTCTCATCTGCCGTCACAGCAGCTGCCACGGGGACCACTGGAAGAAAGGAGAGAGAAGTGATGCTGAGGGCGCCACAAGGACACGAGGCCAGGCAAGTCTCAGCCCCTGAGGGATCCAATCCACAGCAAAGTGCCCTAGGGCGAAAGCCCAGAGCCCACCTGTGAGCTGTGTGACAGCAGTGGCAGCCAGTGCTTCAGTGGCCAGTGTCATCATGTCATCCGAGGCCACTGTGACAATGTTGAGCTCACTGCCATCTTCTGGCTCCAGGATCTTCATGCCTGCCTTGCCCTGGTGCACCGTCTTGACGTGGGAGCGCAGGTTGTCCACCCGGTTGAAGCCACGGCCGCATTTGTCACAGAGGAATGGCTTCTCCCCTGGGGACGAGAGGGGAAGCAGGAGGTTAACCATGGGTTCAGGCACGCAGGACAGCGTGGGGAGCCCTGGGGGCACTCACCAGTGTGGATGATGATGTGTTTGGAGAGGTCACCCACATTGACAAAGGCTTTGTTGCAGACAGTGCACTTGTGAGGTCGGATGTTGTCGTGGTGCCGGATGTGGTTGGCCAGCTGGCTTGACTGCACGAACCTGAAGGGGACAGGGATGAGGACACAGTGGTGGCACTGCCCCAGCACCACTATGTGCAATAACAAGGACACTCACCTCTTGCCACAGCGCTCACAGACATAGGGCTTCTCCCCTGTGTGCTGGCGCACGTGGGCAATGAGGGAGCTGGCTTGGGTGAACGCCTTCCCGCAGATGAGGCACTGGCACGGCTTCTCTCCTGGGGAGGCAGCAGGAGGGCTCAGCCACACAGGGATCAACGTGGAACCCCTCAGCCCTCCAGGGAAAAGCAGTGCAGAGGCTGAGCTGTGTCCCTACCCGTGTGGATGCGGACGTGCCGCTGCAGTGCCCCAGGGTCAGCAAACTGTCGCTGGCAGTGCACACAGACGTAGGGCTTCTCCCCGCTGTGGATCCGGAGGTGCCGCTTCAGGTTGCCTGCGTGCAGCTGCATCTCAGACAGCAGCACGGGGACACCAGAGCACCCATCCCTCCCTGTGCTGCATGCAGCAGGAACTCCGCAACAGCTTGGGGAGATGGGAGGGACACCTCTCTCCCGCAGATCAGCTCCTTTCAGGAGCAGCCCCAGGGTGTGAGGTGGAGGTTTAAACCCTTCTCCTCTGTTCCCCAGAGATACCCTCCTCAGGGAGCTCCCCACCTACCCACCCCATGCTACCTGAGGTGGTGAACTGCTTGCCGCACTCCCGACACTTCAGGGGCCCATCCGCAATGTGAATCTTCAGGTGAGCTTTCAAGTTCCCCACCTAGGGACAAAAATCAGGATGCAGAGAGCTCCCCACCATCCCCAGCAGCCCCCATGGTGGGCAATGAGCCGTGACTGCTCCAGCCCCTTCCCCAGCTCACTTGGTTGAATTTCTTGTCACAGTGGGGACACTTGTGCTCCTTGTCGGTGTCGTGGGTCTCCAGGTGCCGCATTTTGGAGGTGGGGTCAGAGAAGGAGCGCCCGCAGTAGTCACACTGGTAGGGCTTTTCCCCGCTGTGCACCAGTTGGTGCCGCTTGAGGTTGCCCGAGGTGGTGAAGAGCTTTCCGCAGTCGTCACAGCGGTACTTGGCCTCCCCTGTGTGCCGCTTCTTGTGCAGGTTCAGCAGGCTGATGAGGCGGTAGCTCTTCCCACATTCCTCACAGCCGTAGGGCTTCAGTGGGCTGCAAGGCACACGGGGCTGTCAGCTGAGGGAAGCAGCATAGCAAGTCCCCACCGACCTCTGACTCGGCTGCCACTGTCACAGCTCCAACAGCTGAGCCAGGTGGCAGCTGTCACCATACCTGTGCGTCTTCTCGTGGGCTTTGCACGCAGCTGGGTCTGAGAAGGCTTTATTGCACTCCCTGCAGGAGAAGGGCTTCTCGCCGGTGTGGATGCGGATGTGCCGCTTGAAGTTCCCAGTGTGGGTGAACTCCTTTCCGCAGTCCTACAGGCAGAGAGATGCACAGTGATGCCAGTGGCACCAAGGAATGGAAGCCCTGCTGTGGCTCCAGCCGCCCTCACCTCACACTTGTGTGTGACGGAGCCGTAGGCTTTCGACTCGGTCCTGTCGCTGTAAGTACCCGAACGCAGCAGCCGCGTTTCGCCTGAGTTCTCCTGTCCAGAGTCAGTGCTCCCTGATTCGTTATCCTCAGCATTTTCTCTGCTTTCTAATTTGGGTTGTGCTGCCTTGGGAATTTTAGCCTCCTCTTCATCCTCCGCCATCGCCTCCCTCTCTTTCTCCTTCCCTTCCAGCTCCATCTCTGCATGCATTCAAAAAACGGGGACACAAAGGATTGAGAGCAGCATCAGAGACACAAAACCCACCCACACTTCCTAACTCTAACCTCAAATTTAAGCTGATGCAGCTTAGACCCTGCCCCACTCCCAGGAAGGGAAAACAGCAAAGTCCCTGCTGCTGTGCTCAACAGAACGCACCTCTTGCCTCAGTGCTTGGTGCATCACTGCCCTTCTCTCTGGGGCTGCTGTTGCCCACCTCGCTCTCTGCTGGCTGCAGGCGGCTGGGGGATGTGGCAGCAGGGCCAGCTTCGGCAGCACTGTCCACACCTACAAGCAGCAGAGTGTCTCACCCATGTTCAAGAAGTAATGAGCAGCAGGACAGGGCACCTGGGGGGAGTTCAGACCTCACCTCCTGGCTGCTGACCTTCTGCAGGACCCTCTTTGGCATCCGGTTGCTCTACTGGCTCCTTGGACTGTGCTGCTGCAGCCACAGGCGCCTCTTCCTTCCCCTCTTGGTTGGGAGGGACTTGTTTTGGCTTGTCAGAATCACCTTGTGTTACTGCTGCCGCTGTTTTGCCCTCAACAATCACCTTCTCAACCCCTGCAAGGAAAGAAAACTATGCCATCTGTGGCTTGTTGGATGAGGCAAAGCAAGACAAGAAAGCTACGTACCAAGCTCAGTGAGGAGCTCCCGGCTCTCTACAGGGCTTTCTGCCAGCACTGTGAGGGATTTGAGTGCATTGCAAGCATTGACAATCTCCCGCATCTGGAGGAACCCTGCCACAGCCAGCACATCTTCCACATTGTCGGGGTTCAGGCTCAGCTTGGCCGTGTACATGAACTCCAAAACCTGTCCCAACCCTGCAAAAGACACAGCACAGGCTGTAAGCTCTCACTTGTGCCACCCATCTGGCTGTAAGATTTCCAGAAGCCTTGGATCCTACCTGCCACGTTGCTGATGTCGAGGTGCACCACATCCTCCTTCTGGTCCACAAAGAGCATCCTGAAATACTCACTGCATGCTGCCAGCACGGCTTTGTGGGCCTTGAAGTTGATGCCATCCACCACGAAGGTGCAGTCGCACAGCAAGCCCAGCTGCCGCAGCTGGTTCAGCTGCTCCAAAACCTGCCTGCTGTGCTGAGGGAAATCCATGGCTGTGGGCAGAAAGCAGAGCTGTAGTGAGGTGGTGCTAAAACCCAAAAGGGGCGGGAATGGGGCAGAGCACGAAGGCAGGAATCCTAAGAAGCAGAAGGCGGAGGGTCAACGGACCAAGGGAGGTGGGATCACTGCAGACATCTGCAGGCAGTGGGAGCTCACGTACTCGGTCAGGGCTGGGCAGGCCAGTTCAACTAGGGCAGCTGCTGCAAGCCACAAATGTGTTCCTTCAGCTGCTAAGCACAGGATGGGCGTGCAGTGCGACGAGGGAGCCTCCTCCTGTCTGCAGTGGGTCGTAGCAAGGAGCTCACAACGGTCTTCTGCCTTGCTCTGCAGCCTTGGGTCTCCCTTGATTGCAATTACCCCTTGGAGAGGAGCAGCAAAAAGAAACCTGGGGGAAGGAAGTGTCAGGGACTTAGTTTGCTCAGCTGAGAAGTCAGAAAGATAGAGGCTGGAAAGGAACCATTAGGAAAACCACTCAAGATTGTGAGTTTGCTCTCCTCTGAGCAAGATGCTCTCTGTGTCTCCTTCCCCTGCCTCTCCCAAAACACAGCACGATTTTCAACCAAACACCAACAAACCACCTGCCCCCAAACACATCTGTCAACAGCCAGAAACAGCAATACTTGCATCAAGATCTGTCAAAACCCTCATATATATGTGTGTGTGTGTGTGTATATAAATAAAAGACTCATTAAAGTTTGCAAGAGAAACTTTGCTTCACTAGAAAAAGAGCACTTTTCCAGCAGCACAAACAATGCTGTCTTATGTACTTAGAAAGCTCTGAGCTGCATGCAAACACAACAGGAGAGGACCGGGAGCAGAAAAAAAAAAAAGGAATACAATCAGGACTGCTAAAGAAAGTAACTGACATTGGCACAAACCCTTTTATATTGGTGCTGTGACACACAAAGATGTATCAAAGCCCCCCTCACTCAGCTCCGTGCCTGAAAAACAGTGATACAAGAGGAGTGGTCCTTGGCTGCAACCATGTGCTGCAGAGAGATCTCAGGAACAGAATTGGGAACCATAGAATCATAGAATGGCCTGGGTTGAAAAGGACCACAATGATCATCTAGTTTCAACCCCTCTGCTATGTGCAGGGTTGCCACCAGCAGACCAGGCACGATGAGGAATGAGAAGTTTGTGGCTCTCCTCCAGAATTTGCCCCTCCCTGGTGCTGAAGTCTCTACGCAGCCCTCCAGGAAGAAATGCACTGCAAACCCTCTGTTTTAAACTTACAAAACTCACTGCTTCAGAGCTGTGCAAAACCCACGGTGATTTCTTGCTGCTTTCTTTCCTACCCCACACCAAGGGGCCGTGACCTCCACGCAGACAACACGCAGCCAGAACCAGACACCCTCTGATTCCACCTTGTCAGAAGGGCGTGGGTGCTGCTTTCCCTTCCCATCTCTCCCTCACACAGCTGACAAGCCCCTCATTACCCGATCCATCACAGAGATGGAAAGCTCTGCTACCAGAGCACCCACACACACAGCAATAACCACAGCCAGGTCCCAGGGAGCAGCCCACACAAGTGTGCTCCCCAGGGTGTGAAACTGCGGGGAGAAAGGGAGGGAAAACCAAGGGAGCAAGAGATGCTCAGCAATAGGAGACGTGAAGCAAAGGTTTTATGCCTTCTTTCCTCCTCCAACAATCAGAAGTTCTCACTGTGAGGGGCTGGGAGCTCTCCTATTTATTAACAAGGGCTCGTACAACGCAGTGGAGCAGATAAACCCTGTTTTCTTTTTTTTTGTTAAATTTCTGAGGTGCTCAGAGGTCCCCCCAGCTCTGGGGCCGGGCGGACACCAGCCAGGCTCAGCGCAGGGCCTCCCCTCAGAGCTGGGTTCAATGCAAAGGGGGACTGCAGCCCAAACCCAAGGCCTCTCCTATGCCTGCCCCCAGGCCCCTACCAAGAGGCTCTCAGCCTCCTAGCAAGCCTCCTCCCCGCCCCACCAGGCTCTCCCCCACCGCCCTCGGCCCTACCTGCCATGCCGGCCCGCCGGCGGCCTCAGATCACCGCCCGTGACACGGCCCAGACAAAGGGCGCCGCCATCTTGGCACCGGGCGGAAGCGGCGTCGCCCCTTCCCGCCCACCGCCGGCAGCACTGCGCATGCGCGCCCTAATCGGGGCGGGGACGCGCATGCGCAAAGCGTATAATGCGGTCGGGTCACGTGACGCGGGTGTTTTCATCCCTCCCCGTCCCGGCGCCATGTTGGCGGGCGTTGGGATGGGGCCGTCGGGGTGGGGCCGGTGGCTGGCCTGGTCTCTGCGGTGTTCTGTAGAACCAGGGGCTCAGCCTCGTGCCCTGTGCGTCCGTGGGGGCTGGTGTTCCTTCCTTGGGTGTCTCTAAGCCTGGGGATGAGGGTATGCCGCGATGGTGGCCCCACAGGGAGCAGGCCTCTAGTGCGCTCTGTGGGGATGAAAGGCGCCGGAATTATCCAGGCGAGGTCCTGCGTGCTGAAGGAACTGGGTGCGTGGGGTTGAGGGTCTTGCTCAGGTCTTTAACAACCCAAACGATTCTCTGTGCTGCTCCCCATAGGAAAGGCGTAATGCAGGGATGGCTGCTTGAGGAGCGCGTCGAGGCGGTGTTGTTCTTTACAAGATGCTGGTGAGGCACGGACAGCCCCACTGCCGCAGCTGTGCAGGCAGCAGCCTGGAGACTGCACCGTACTGCTGTTCCTTGCGTACCAGCTTCCCTGTCAGGTGCATGTGGCACGGCCAGCAATGAGCTCCTCACAGGGCTGTGTTCAGCGTTGGAGCTCTGAGCTGCCTTTCACCCATTCTCCAACTCCCACCCCAAAACCAGGCAGCTTTGGGGAGAAAACCCCTTTTTTCTTCCCCTTGTGTCTTTCATCTGTACCCCTCGCCACTAGATGGCACCGTGTGATTGCAGTGTGTGGGTGCCAGGTGCCATGGGGTGGCATTCTGGGGGCACAATGGGTGCATCCTGCTGCTCCTATCCCCATAGATGTGCATTTCCAATTTTCTGAGCTGTACTGAGCTCTTTGGGAGCTTTTTTGATACCGTTTAAACATTTTTCCTTGCAGCAAGGAGTCCACCAAGCCCTGCAGCAGATCCTGCCTCACCCGAGGTGAGTGTGGGACAGAAATAAAACAGCAAAAGGCACCAGCTAGATCCCTTTGAATGTCCTTGTGGCATTACAGGCATGTCAATGCTGATCACAAGCCATTATGGGACAAGCCAACCTCACACCCGTGCCAAGGTAACATGAGCTGTGTGGTCGCTATAAACAGCCCTGTGCTGTGTTTGTACACATGAGGTGGCTTTGGGGCAGCGTTTGGTCCCACAAAGGAAGGAACCCTGGGTTTGGCAGCCTCTCTGCCCCAGCCTGCTGCCGTCTAGGGCTTGGTGATGGGCAAAAGGAGAAGGGGGTTTGGTGACCTTCCAAGGTGGGCTGGCAGCCGAGCAGCTGAGGGAAGGGCTTAGAAATAGAGCGGCCAGGAAGAAGTGAGTCACTGGGACTGGAAATAAACAAGGAGGTGGGCATGGAGCGGGGATGCTCGGGCCAGCTTCTTGTTTGCATCCAGGAGGAATTGTGGTCCCTGCTACTGAGGTACCCATTGGGGCTGAGCCTGCAGCTGCTCTGTCCCTTTAACTCAGCTCCTTTGGGGAGAAAGCATCAGGAAAGCAGAAGAATGAAAGGAGGAGACAGCAGTTCTCAGTTATCTCTTACAACCCAGTACAAGCTGTATATACAAAGAAAAGCTCCAGCAGAGGGTCAGGGAAGAGCTCACTCCCCGGCCTCACTCTTCGTAGCTGTCCTGCAGGCAAACCTGCAGCCACCACCACCACAATTGCTGTGGGGCCTCCGGGTCTTCCCAATCCTGCCCCCAAAATGATGCCTGCAGTCTCTTGGGGGTTCTGCAGTGAGGGATGCTCATGCTGTGTGCGGGTTTCACCTCTCATACCTCCCAGGGAGCCTGCGGGGAGCACTCCCATCCCCTCCACAGCATCCCCTCCATCCCAAACCAGCGGGGTGGCAGCCGGCTTGCGAGGGAGCAGACAGACAACTAGATAAATAAGGGAGCACCCCACACGCTACCCAGGGGGCAGGGGAAAGGCCCATCCCCGGCACTGCCCCCAGCCTCTCAGATTTTGATCTCAGTCCGGTAGGTCTGCTGGACGTGCTCGGTGTGTTTAGCCGGCTGCCGCATGGCGCGGATGGTCAGCGTGCCGTTGTCCCCCAGTGAGGATGACACCGACGTGGGGTCCACATCCTCAGGCAGCTGGCACTTATGGGTGAAGGTGTTCATGACGGTGCCATCCCCGGCCAGCTGGGAGGGGAGAAAGGGGCGATTTTAGGCTGCAAGAGGCACAGGAGAGCTTTGTTCCTTTGCCCTTGGGTGAGGCTCGCAGTGTCGCCTTGTGTGTGGTGTTAATATTTATAATCTCCCTGCGGGTGCGTTGGTGGGACATGAGTCACCTGGGGCTGGAAGCTGGAGGAACAAAGGTGCTGTTTTGGGAGCTGCTCCTGGGGCGTTAAGATTTAGGGCGTGTGGGGACAGCACCTGGGAGAGGGCATGGGACACTGCAGCAAGGGCAAAAAGATGAGGAAATAGGGACTTCAGTGCTGAACTGGTGATGGCCAGGATGTGGGGATGTTGTGATAGCTGGGTAGGGGGTCTGAGGGGTGGCAGCTTTGGGGTGGTGATGTGAGGTGCCAGAGGGCGTGCTCACCTTCTCAGCGTGCACCTCAATCTGGTTGTTGGAGGTGGTGACAATGATGTCCTCAGGGGCGAAGTCGCTGACATCCACTGTGAACTGGTACGTGTTGCCCAGGGTCTTCACCTTGCCATTGGTGGCAGGCCGAGCTGTAGGGCAGCGCAGGGGTCAGCTCATCCCCGTTCCCCCCGATAATTCCCTCCCAGAATGACTCGTTTCCCACAACTCGGTATTGAATCCAAGCCCTCCACCCTCCTCGGGGTGACCTTGGACTGCAGCGGGACCCCAAAAAGTGAGGTGCGTGCTCGCAGAGATCCCATTGCAGGGACTTGCCTGGGAAGCCCATCGGCTCGTGGGGCCTTGCGAAGCTCCCAAAAAGCTCCATGGGGCAGGCGGGCGACGAGGAGCGGCTGTGGTGGTGGAAGCTGTGCTCCGACCGGAAAGCTGAGGAGGATTTCAAGTTCATCCACTCCAGAGCAGGTCAAAGGGGCCAATGGCACCTCCTTACCCAGCGGCACCGGCTGTCTCGAGGGCGGCCACCGAGCTTATAAAGCCCCGTTTGGCTCTCGGCCACCTTCCAGACCTCTTGTAAAACCGGCTAAATTTAGGTCCTGCTACATCACTCTGAGCGCTGTGGAAATTTTTTCCTCTCTCCCCCCTTTCATTGGCTCGGCTCCTCCCCGTCCTGGCCATGGTGGGGGGAACCTGATTCCACTGTTGGCATTCCTGCCCACCAGGATAATGCAGTGGACTGAGGGGCATGATGCTCACCCCCACCCACTGTCCCCAGGATGGGGGTTTTGGGGAGCTTCAGTCCCAGGGCTCCTTGCATGGGGAGTGATAATAAAAAGTCATTAGAAATGTCCTTGACAGAAGCATGGAGCACATCCAAGCTGGCAGCTCCATGTAGGAATCTGGGGAGGGAGGGGGTGCAAAATCTACATCATTTGGAGCTTCCCTCCCACCCCAGGGCAGACGAGGCCACATTTTGGGGTAGAAAAGGAAGGCTCAGCGAGTGGCTCTGCAGAGCAGACCATGTAAGGCTTTATTCCCTGCGCTGACCCACCAGACAGCCCTGCCAAAAAACGCAGGGGGGGGTGTAATGTGAGCAGCCCCCCCTCTGTGCTGAGTAATTCCGGCAGGCGCCTGAGTCACCCTTGGCTGTCCACATGTATGGAGATGCTCAGAGCATCCCTGGGCACTGCATTGCTCCTCCATGCCCCTCAGCTAGAGCTGGATGTGCCCCCTCCTCCCCCCCTACCCCTCCCGAGGTGTATTCAGAGGCTGAAACCCTTCCCTTGTTGCTCCAGCTGGCTCCAGCCTGTGCAGGTCTGGCCACCTTGTCAAGGTCGTTTATAATGAGCTTGTTTGCAAACTCATTTCCACCACAGTGCTGGCACAGCCAGCAGCATCGAGCTGGGCAGCCCCAGACCCCCAGAACACTCTCGGGATGGAGCCCCCCAGCCTGAAGCAGGAAGAGGAGAAGGTTTTGGTGTCGGAGCACAGCTGGCAGCCCTGCCCCAAAGCCCGTAGGAGGCTGCAAGGTGAGACCCCTACCCCTAGTTTTGGGCACATTGAGTTGATTTGGGGATCTTCTGGGGGGTTAGCACCCTGTTGCCCCCACTCTGGTTCTGTAGGGTGTCTGGAGGTGGTGAAGGGGCTGCTCTTCCGTGTGGGCGAGGACTGGTATTTCCTCTTTGTCCTGGGGGTCCTCATGGCCACCATCAGCTTCATGATGGACCTCATCATCTTCAGGCTCTATGAGGGTAAGGAGGGGCTGCAGCATCCCCTGTTTTGGGGGAGAACCTGAAAACTGGGGAAAGCTGTGAGGCTGTTGGGGCATCTCCCCTCCCAGCACTTCTTCTCCAGCCCACCGGTGGCTGTACCAAGAAGTTGGTGATTATTTGGTGCTCAAGTACCTCTCATGGACCATCTACCCTGTGGCCCTGACAGCCTTCTCCACCGGCTTTGCCAACAGCATCACACCACATTCGGGAGGTGAGTGGGGACCCCTTGGAATTCCCAAACCCTCCCCAGTGCAGGGAATCCCTAAAACTTGGAGACTCCTCCCCCCCCCCCCCAAAACTTGGAGCCTACAAATCGTGGAGCCCTCAAAAATGGGAATCCCCCAAAACTTCGGGACCTCAAATGTGGAATTTACAAAGTATGGAGCCCACAAAATTTGGAACTCTCAAAACTTGGGGTCTTCAAAACCTGGAGCTCTCCATGCTTCAAGCCCCCAGTATTTGGAGGCCCCTCCAATCTTGGAGCCCCCCCAACTCAGAGCTCTTCTCCCCCACCAAGGCTCTGGCATTCCTGAGCTCAAGACCATCCTGAGTGGCGTGGAGCTGGAAGAATACTTGGCCATCAAAAATTTCGGGGCCAAGGTGGTGGGGCTGACCTGCACCCTTTCTGCTGGCAGCACCGTGTTCCTTGGCAAATTGGTGAGCAGGGAATTCCAGCAGGAATTTCAGCACAGGCTCAGTGCCAAGGTTGCTCAGCACTGTGTCCTCTCCATGTCTCCAGGGTCCCTTTGTTCACCTCTCCTCCATGGTTGCAGCTTATCTGGGGAAGATGCGGACCTCAGTGATAAGGGAGTATGAGGTGATGGCAGTGCTGGAATATTATTTTTTAACCAGTTTTTTCTTCAAACCCAAAGCATTTCAGCTAAACTATTTTCTCCACAGGACAAATTCAAGCAGAATGAGATGCTGGTGGCTGCTCAGGCTGTTGGTGTGGCCACTGTTTTTGGGGCTCCCATCAGTGGTGAGTGACCCTACTGCCCCTTTCCCATGAGAGGGACCCCCAAATCTGAGTGAGTCCCCCCCTTCTTCCAGGGGTGCTGTTCAGCATCGAGGTTATGTCATCCCACTTTGCTGTGCGGGATTACTGGCGTGGGTTTTTTGCTGCTACTTGTGGTGCCTTCATGTTTCGCCTCCTCGCCGTCTTCAACAGCGAGCAAGGCAAGACAGGGCAGGGCAGGGAGCAGCTCTGCAGCGTCCTTTGTCCCCCCCTAAAAATCCATGTACCCCTTCCTTCCTCCTCAGAAACCATCGCTGCTCTTTTTAAAAGCGACCTCAAGATTGATTTCCCTTTTGACCTGCCAGAGACTTTCTTCTTCGTGATTTTGGGGTAAAGAGACACCTACTGGGGACAGGCTCCTGCCCTCACAGTGCCCATACTCTGCCTGAATCTGCCTATATTCTGCCCATAACCTGCCTGCGCTCTGCCTGTCCCCTGCCCATTTCCTTGTGCACACCCTGCCCAGCTCTGTCTGCACACTGCCATCTCTTCCCCAGGGCCATCTGTGGAGCCATCGCCTGTGCCTACCTCTTCTGCCAGCGCTGGCTGCTGGCAGCTGTCAAAGAGAACCGGCTGACAGGCAGGCTGCTGGCCACCGAGTGAGTCCTGTGTGTCTGTGTGTCCATGCTGTGCACCTGAACGTGTGTCCCACCCCCATACATCCTTGTGTCCTCCCAGTGTGTCCATTTGTCCCACTCACTACGTCCTCGTGTCCCCCAGTGTGTCTGTGTGTCCCCTGGTATATCTGTCTGTCTCATCCATCCTTCTTCCCACAGCAAGCCCCTGTACACAGCGCTGGTGGTGCTGCTGCTGGCGTCCATCACCTTCCCTCCAGGCCTGGGCCAGCTGATGGCCTCCAGGGTGAGCAGGGCTGGGGGCTTTCCCGTCATCCCCCACCTGACCCCCACACCCATGCCATTTGTCTGTCTGTCTAGCTGTCCATGAAGGAACACCTCATATCACTCTTCGACAACCGCTCCTGGTTTGTGCTGGCCCAGAACGTTTCCATGGCTGCCCCCCAGCTGGGGGACCCACGGGGGCTGTGGCAGGAGTGGTGCCACCCTTCAGCCACCATCTTCGGTACTTTGGTCTTCTTCCTGCTGATGAAGGTACCTCATTGTGTCCCCAGCCCCACACCACAACCTGTTGTCCCCATTCCCACGTGCTGTGTGCCCCTCAGTTCTGGATGCTGACCCTGGCCACCACCTTGCCCATGCCTGCTGGGTACTTCATGCCTGTCTTTGTCTATGGTGAGTCTGGGGGGTTGTGCCCCACTCCTGGGGGGCACCCAGCCCTGGGCTGCATCTGATCCTGGGGGGCATGGGGTGCATCCAACACATTAGGGGTGGGGAGGAGATTAAGGGTTGGCATCTGATACGCTGGGGACACAAGGATGCATCTGGCTCTTGAGGTGCATATGATCTTGAGGGACTGCAGGGGGTGTCACAGAATCACAGAATTGCCAGGGTTGGAAGGGACCTCAAGGATCATGAATCTCCAACCCCCCTGCCACACGCAGGGCCACCAACCATTCCACCTAATGCTAGACCAGACTGCCCAGGGCCCCATCCAATCTGGCTTTGAACACCTCCAGGGACGGGGCATCCACAACCTCCCTGGGCAGCCTGTTCCAACCCATTTTGATGTGTGGTGGATAAGGCAGTTGCATCCAGCACTCAGTTGCATCCAGCACTGGGGGGCAGTTGCGACCCAGACAGAAGGAGTCTGGGTGTTGCTTCCAACCCCTAGATGTGGGAGTGTGTGGGGATGCCACAGCTCTGTATTTTTTGGGGGGTGTTCCTTGAGGGTCCTTGGGCTTCTCTCTCTCCCCGTCCCCAACCCCACAGGAGCAGCCATCGGGCGGTTACATGGGGAGGTGTTGGCCCTGCTCTTCCCCCATGGCATCCGCACGGAGGGCACGGCGTACCCCATTGTCCCCAGTGGATATGCACTGGCTGGTAAGTGGGTGACATCGTTGGGTGGGGACAGTGGGGCCACCCCAGTCCTTGTGCCAATGCCACCACTGTCTCCCGCCATAGGCGCTGCTGCTTTCTCGGGTGCCGTCACCTACTCTGTCTCCACTGCCCTGCTGGTGTGTGAGGCCACTGGCCACATGGCCCACGTGCTGCCTGTCGTGCTGGCTGTGCTGGTGGCCAACGCCATCGCCCAGAAGTGGCAGCCCTCCTTCTATGATGGCACCATCATTGTCAAGAAGCTGCCCTACCTGCCTCGCATCCGCAGCCGGCACATAGCGTGAGTATCCTCACGGGCTCTGCTTTGGGGGGATTCCCTGGAAAAAATCATGGCTTTTTGTCCCTGTTCTCCAGCTCCTACCGCGTGGTGGTGAAAGAGTTCATGGAGCAGCAGGTGGTGGCTGTGACCAAGAGTGATGGCTTTGAGGAGGTGCTGGCAGCCCTCAATGCCACCACTGATAAAGAATACCCAGTGGTGGAGAGCAAAGGTAGGGTGGTAGGTGTGCAGGGGTCTGGTGGCCATGGGACATCTCAGCTGGTTGCCTTGTGGTCACCTCACCTGGCTCCTGTTCCCACAGGGTCACCCACACTGGTGGGCACCATCAGTCGTGCCAAACTGGTGGCCTTCCTGCAAAGCCACGAGCACCCACAGGCACCCCCAGGGCCGCTGCAGGAGAAGGTGAGTTTGAGGCACCCCAAAGAGACATTTTTTCCACCCAAACATACAGTGTATCACTTTCTCTATCCCACTGCAGCCAGCCTCCACTGGGACACTTGGGGAGGACTGTGCCATTGAGCCCATTGTACTGCAGCTGTCACCGTGGACCTCACTGCACCAGGTTTGGGGTGGAGGGACAGGTAACAACAGGCCCCCCAACCCAGAAAAATTTGGATTTTATCCCCACACGTCCCTGCTCTTTGCAGGCACATCATCTCTTCGAGCTGCTGAAGCTGCAGTGTATCTTTGTCACCCACTATGGGGAGCTGGTGGGAGCTGTCACACGCACCGAGGTGCCAGCAGGGACATTGGGTGAACATGGGGTGGGGGCAGGAGGGCACAGCACCCATCCCAACTTTTCCTTCCTCTTGCAGCTGCGGAGAGCCATAGAGGAGCTGGCCAAGGACGCGTGAGCCCCCATCCTGCTGCTGTGTTAATTAAATGGCTTTTGGGGTCATATGGTTAATTTCAGGAGCTGTCTGGAGTGCAGAGCATCTAATCCTATTGCTACTGCGTCCTTTGTTTCGGGGGTCGCTCTGCAAAGCAGGGTGTAGCATTTCAGGGTGCAGCTGATGCTAATGAAGGCGGTGCAATTAATCCTGGGCATGCCCAAACCCAGCCGCAGGAGGGGTAAAACGAGGTCAGCGCCAGGGGAACACCCAAAAAATGGGGCTGGAGCTGGGCATGGCAGCGCCAGGGGGGTGCGGGGGATGGCTCTGTGGGGCTGGGGCCAGGCAACACCCATGAGAGGAAGACACCATGGTAGGGGTGAGAACAGAGTGATGGGTGTACAGAGGACTGTAGTGATGGATCCACACCATCCACATCACCTGGGAAAGGTGCTGAGTAGACACGGGGACCACAGCACCCATAGACCCCATGGAGATTGCTGCTCAGTGGGTTGGGGGCAAGCAGAAGACGATGGGAGCACAGCCCCCATAGAGATGAAGGTGTGCAGCAGCCCCAGGGCAACCCCTGCCCCACGCATCACCCTGCCAGCTCCTGCAGGGATTGGGAGTTTCACCGAAACTCCACACAGGGAGGGGAAACCGAGGCACGGCGGCACCCGGGCACGGGGCGTGGTGATGTGCTGCAGGGCCAAGTGCCAAAAAAAAAAAGAGGAAAAAAAAAAAAAAAAAGGGCAAAAAGCACCAAAGAAAGCATTCTGCAGAAGCTTCACAACCGCACACCCCTCGCTGCGGGTTTGAGGTTAAAAGAAAAAAAATCATGATAATAAATGCTTTTTCCGGTGTTTTTCCCACCCGGTTATTTGCAGGCACCACGCAGCCATCCCTGCTGGTGTTTGGCAAAGTAACCCTGAATTCCTCGTGGGTTTGGGGAGGGAGAAGGGAAATGTGCACAAATGCTTGAGAAATGCTGAAAAACCTTAAAGCCTCCTTAAAATAAACAAAGAATAGAGGTTCCCCCCTATACTGGCTCTAAAATCCCACTCCAACTCAACACTGATGGACGCTGGGGTAGAAAAAGAGCACAAAAGTTTTATTCAAATCCAACTCACTGTCGTGAAAATCATGAAAACCTCATAAAATCCATTTAAAAAAAAGGGGGGGGGAAAAACCCAAAACCTGCCCCCTCGCCCCCCTTTTATTTTTTCCTCTCCCTTCTCTCCTTTTACCTCTCCGAAATCTGAGACCTTTTTGATTTCTCTCAATAAATATACAAAAATATAATAAATTAGAAAAACAACAATACCACTGACAAAAAAAAAAATAAAAGAGGTAACACTGCTGGTCAGCAGTAAGGCAGAGAAAAACCAAACCAGCGGTGGGAGAGGAAAATAGGAGGGAAAAAAGGCAGAAATAAAGAAACCTGGGGGCCAAAGCTGTGTGGCTCAGCCCTTTGGGTTTTTTTTCCTTGAAATGCAGAAAAAAAAAGGGGAAATTCCCCCCCAAAACAGCCTCCCCCACTTGAAATTGTCATTTTTTTTGGGGGGGGGGATCCACCTGTTTCGTCCTCGGGACAGCGATGGCAATGCGGTGAAATCCCCTGCAGGGAATAATAATAATAATAATAACAACCACCTTAAAAAATATTAACAACAATAAATAAAGCAGAGGGTGGGGGGATGCCGGGGGTCTTCATTTGCCCATGTGGAGTCAGATGGGGACGCCGGCGGGGCAGAGCTGCTCCTGCAGCCCCAGCAGGCTGTAGGCAATGCGTTTCTTGTGGCCGGGCAGGCGCACCCCGATCTTCTTGAGGTCACTGTAGGGGAAATATAAAGGGGGTGTTTAACTGCAGGTGGAATTTCTAGGGTTGAGAACGGCAGCCAAAGGGGCTGGGTTGGAGGTGGTTTGATTCAGAGTGTGACATAGGGCTGGATCTTGAGCAGCACTGGGGGCATCCCACCCCAAGTGCACCAGAGGACGGGATCCAGCCTGAAAGAGGATCCCTAGGGACGGAGCCCAGGGCAACGCTGTCCCCAAACCCACTGCCACTCACTCGCTTGTCATCTGCAACACTTTCTCAATGGTGCTGTAGCCAGCTGCAGCAAAGTGCTCAGCGTATTGGTGCATCTTGATGGACTCGAGCCACTCAGGCACCGTGCGGAAGGGAACGCCGTCGGAGCCGCTGGTGCTGGGCAGGCGGATGGAGACACTGCGGAGAGCCGAAGGAAATGACATCAGCACACAGAAATGCACGGATGCAAAAGAAAAAAAAAAAAAAAAAATCACGCAGAAATGCAAGACTGCAGAAAAAGTTTATACAAAGGTACAGGAAAGCATGTAAAAAGCAACAGGCTGCCAAAAAAATTCACGCAGAAATGAATACAAGAGGACACGGCAGTGCAAAGATGCGAGAAGTCAAGCAAGAGTGCAGTAAAAAAATGCAGGAATGGAGGATGTGAAAACAAGGGGAATGCAAAGTCTGGAGAAAAGGTCATGCAAAGGAATGAGTGAGAGTGAGGAAAACTGCAGGAATAGAAGGTGTGGGAAATAACGCAGGAATGCACACATGCAAAAAATAATGCAACAATGCAAAGGAAAACAACATGGAAAAGTAGAAGGGTGCAAAAAAAAGTGGAGGATGCAAAGGGTCGTGCCCTCTTCCTGCAGCTCACCGGGGGTCGAAATCTGCCAGTGCCTTGAGTGAGTCGGGGGCGCGGACGAGCTTGTCGAGGATGCTGACAATGTCTGCAAATTTGGGGCGCCGGGAACGTTCCTGCTGCCAGCACTGCATCATCAGCTGGTACACAGCCGAGGGGCAGTCCAACGGGGCGGGCAGGCGGAAGCCTTCATTGATGGCTTTCATCACCTGTAAAGGCATCCCGGAAATGCGATGAATAAAGAAACGTGCCAAACAAAGCCTCCAGAATAACAAAGCTGGGCCCCAAAAGAGCAAAGCTGGCCCAGTTGGAATAGCAAGGTCACCCCTTAAAGTCAGCACCACAGAAAGCAGTCATGCCAAGTAAGGCGCTCAGCCCCCAAAGCAGCCCCCCAAAATAGGGTGCCAGAGGGGTGCAGATGCTCACCTCGTGGTTGGAGAGCTCCCAGTACGGGCGCTCGCCGTAGGACATCACCTCCCACATGACGATGCCGTAGCTCCAGACATCACTGGCAGAGGTGAACTTGCGGTATGAAATGGCTTCGGGTGCTGTCCAGCGGATCGGGATCTTCCCACCCTATTGGAGGCAATGCCGTCACGATTCCCCAGTGGCAAGGAAAAAGAAAGGAGGCAACGGTGCAAAATTGTACCAAACCCCCCCCAAATCCCCTTTGGTGGCACTTACACTGGTGGTATAGGTGGCTTCAGGGTCATCCTCCAGCACCCTCGACAGCCCAAAGTCGGACACCTTGCAGACCAGGTTGCTGTTGACCAGGATGTTGCGTGCAGCCAAGTCCCGGTGCACGTAGTTCATGTTGGCCAAGTACTTCATGCCTGCTGCAATGCCCCGCAGCATGCCCACCAGCTGGATGACACAGAACTGCCCATCTTTTTCCTGAAAGCAGAGAAAATAACTCCAAATCCCACATCTTGTCACTACCGGGATGTTCATGGAGCCAGGTCTTGTCTCCATGGGGATTTTGGGGCTGAAATCCTGCTAATCCCACCCCGGGGTGTTGGGATTCCATCACGCATTGCCTACCCTCAGGAATTTGTCCAACGCGCCGTTTTCCATGTACTCTGTGACAATCATGAAGGGTTTGTCTGCAGAAAGAGAGCCAAAATGTGTTGAACAATTCTGAAGACCAACTCCGTGCCACTGAAAATAATGCTTCTTGGGTGTCCAGCAAGCTTTTTGGGAAGATAATTCTGGTTTTAGGGCACTCACGCTTAGAGACGACACCCTCAAGGCGGATGATGTTGTGGTGACAGAACTGCCCCATGATGCTGGCCTCACCCAGGAAGTCCACACGCTGCTTCTCTGTGTAGCCCACCTTGAGCGTCTTGATGGCCACCGGCACCTCCTTCTTGCCCTGCTTCAGGGTGCCCTTGTAGACCTCCCCGAATTCTCCTGCTCAGGGCAACAGAGAAGTTCAAAATGTGTTCCCTCCTCAGTTTGGGGACAGATGACAATGTGAGGACCTACCAGCGCCGATGACCTTCTGGCGGGTGATGGAGGATGGCGAGATCTCAGTGGTGAACTTGAGCATGGCTTGGTTGGGGTCTTCATAGGTGTGTGGGTCAACGTAGGTCTTGAGGGGCTTCAACTGGTCTGTGGGATTGGCAGCCGTGTCACCCCCAAAGCGTCCTCTTTTTGTCACCCCCATGCCTTCAGCCCACCACCCCACCACTCACCAGACTTGGAGAAGTAGACATCCTCGGGGGACTGGCGCGATGGCGAGTTTCTCCTCCTCCTGCAGAAAAGCAATGTTTGGCCCTATTATTCACCCCTGGGGTGGCAAAAAATTAGATTTGTTTTTTTTTTTTTTTAATCTCTCCCTACCTCCGGAGGACGTAGATGAGAGCAGCAAGGATGAAGACAACAAAGATGACACCGGTGACGGAGCCACTGATGACGGCAGTGGATGCCATGGACTCAGCTTCTGTGGGAACATTCAGAGTCGTGTACACCCCATAGCACCCCAAAAAAACCCTAAATCCACCAAATCCTGTTCCTCACCCTCGGGTAACGTCTCAAACTCATGCTCGAGGCTGAAGGCACCATGGCCATCCTTGGTGAGTGCCTGGACCCGCACCACGTAGGCAGTGCCAGGGGACAGCTTGGGGATGGTGACAGAGGTGCCCTCGCAGCGCAGCACCGAGTAGCTGTTCTCATCTGTCTGAGGAAGCAGGGAAGAGTGTGAGCGAGGGACTGTGCAAAGGATGTGAGATGGGATGCAGATGGGATGCTGCTGGTGGCACCTTCTTGCTGTAGGTGACTTCATATTTCCAGACCCAGCTCTGCTGCCGTGGTGGCACCGTCCAGGAGAGGACCAAGCTGGTGGCCGTCTGTCCGTTCAGGCTCACCGACGTCACCTGGGGCGGCTCTGCAATGGAGACGCAGTGTCACAGGTGGTGGCACCTCTTTGGTTGTGTGATGGCAGCCACGGTGGCACCCCGTGGTGGGCACAGGGATCCGGGTGGCCCTTACCTGTGTGGTTGACGCTGATGCTGGTGCTGGCTGTGCTGCGGAGCGGGCTGAAGGCTGAGACGCCGTTTCGAGCTTCGACGGTGAAGGTGTAGTTGATATGGGGCTCCAGATCGGTGACTGTTACCCCTGTCCCTGTCAGCCCCTGGGGAGGCTGTGAATAGCGGATTCCCCCATCGCAGGGCTGGCACTCTCCACTCTCAGACAAGCACTGCTCACAGGTGATGCTGTAGGTGACATCCTGCCGGCCACCCCTATCACTGGGAGGGGACCAACGCAGCTGCACGGTGGCCCCCAGCCCAATAGCTATGACACTGCGGGGGGGTGAAGGAGGACCTGGGGACACGAAGCATGATGTTGAGGTCAGGGCATGGATACAACCCTCAAACCCCACGCCACGTTCCCAAAATGCCACTCACGGGTGCAGGGCATGGCAGCCGGGTCAGTGGGGGCACGGAAGTATCCATCCTGGCAGGGACATGTGTCAGCGGCGGCCGACGATGGCAGTGTGTGAGCAGGGCAGGGCTGGCAGCCGCTCAGGGACACCTCAGCCTTGAAGGTGCCGGGGGGACATGCTGGAGGAGGGGACAACATGGAGGTGAACACTTGGGTCCCCTGTCCTCAATCTGAGCATCATCACCAGCTTCCAGGGATTCAGAGCATTTCGCCTTATTGCACGGGTCGTTATTACCCACCATGAATGGGGGAGGCTCCTCCCATCAACCCACCCCTCTGTCTGGGGGAACCCTGCCAGTCCACCCCACTGCACCTGACGCACTCACTGTGTCAGCTATGCAAGGCCGCTCCAAGGCTTCCCCCAAGAACACTGAGATGCCCAAGAATGCCCAATTGCACTGAGGATGCCTAAGCACCCCCAAGTGTGCTGAAGATGCCCCAAGGGTGCCTCCGGGGGCAGGGATGTCTCTCAAAGCACACCCCAAGACAGGGCATCCCCACCCCCACACCACCCTTCCACTCCCACCGACGCTCCCCATCCCCACCTTGACACTGCTCTCCCGCTGCCTCGTAGCCAGCCTGGCACTGGCACTGCTCGATGGGCACCAACCACTCTCCATCCATGTTGCAGTGCAGCATCGGCACCCTGTCAGCCACCGCGTGCTCCACGCAGGCACCCTGCACCTTCGCCAGCTGCTGGGAGTCAGCGCCTGCCACCGTCTCG